GCTCCGATTCTGCTGGATGTTGCCCGATTTTGGTAGATCTTGAATTTGGAAGCATCTGTGCACTGAGGTGACCATTGCTGAACCACTGGATGGTGATCGAAGCAGATTTGCGGCTCCCAGGGATTGAAAGCCGAACAGACACGGCCAAGGCCTCTGCAGACGTGTGCTCGGCAAGCGACTCCAACATCGAAGCGACGGGTGCCTGGAAGTGGTGGAAATAGGTGCAGTGCCATGGCTCCCCAAATCAGATCTCAAACCTGAGCCTCTGAGCCTCAAGTGTCGGAGGCAGTAATTCCAACGAAACCACGCGAGCATTTCGTCAGCTGTGCCTCCACCTTATCAGAGGCCCTGGAAAACTGTAGCAACTGAAGGCAGACATCTCGCATTTGAGCCGGGTCAACGTTTTTGTCTCCCTCCATGTCCACGTCCATCATTCGTCCCATAAGCCGCGAGGCTTTGCAACAGGAACTTTCCGACCTCCCTTTGAAGCAGTCTTCCTCTTCTGAGCAGGTGAAGCAGCTCCACCATGGATAAGTCACAAGCAGCCCCTGCCCGAGTCAGGGCCATGGATTCCGGCAATGTGCGACGACGCTTTGCACCAAACTGCAAGCCCGAAACTCATAGAATGCAGATGCAAGGCTGTCTGGCGTCGTACTTTCCCTCGCAGAGCCTGGCAACAACCGAACATGCTCGAAAGCATCGATGCGGGCCAGGTATCCAACGGATCCTGCACGAGGGAACTCCGACTACGATTTTGCGTGGTTCCGACTGGCTGCATTGAGCCAAGCTCTCTCTCTCTCTCTGTCTCGTTCGCCTCGCTTTCTCTTTCCAGGTAGCTGCTGCCAAGGCACGTGGTCTCCATACTCAGCCCAGGCTTTGGCAGCTTCGATCTGCCAGGTGGGCGGCGGTCACATGCGGAATCTATTGAGGTTGATTGCCACTCGACGAGCGAAAGTCTGGCTGTTGGGCCAGCAGCCTCGCTAGGCTAGGCAGGTGCGCCGCCGATGCATGCCCATGCACCTTGAGATCAGGCCGCTCTCGGCCAAGATCCTCGAAGATTTTCGCAGCCTGCTAGAAACACAGGTGGGGGCGGAGAAGGAGTGACGGTGCCCCGCGCAGACAGCAGAGTCCCCGTCTCCCGATATGCCACCTTTCTTCAACCTTTTTTTGGGGGGCGAGCCTTCTGTAGGTACCCGCCGCAGCGCCAGCACTCTGCCTCACAGTCGAAAACGCTGTGCTTCTGCGTTCTGCTTGGCGGTACTGTGTTCATCCGACAAGCACATCTGAGAGAGCCTTGTCTTTATGCCGAATGCCTGAATGGTCCAAATATTTCTTCTGTGGCTGCTCAGCTCTTGGACGCTTTTGGTGAGGATACCTGTCTCTGTCCTGTCCACAATGTGAGAGTCAGTTCTTGACCCGGGAAATGAGCCTCCTCGCGACGAGCATCGCTGGCATGGAACAGCTTGGCAGCTTCGCGGAAGAGTTGAACACCTCGGCCCGGCGAGACTGACCAAGATGAAACTAGTGACATACATCGCTGCTTATCGAAGTGCTTCCTCTCACGACCTCGCAAATAAAAAGCTGGATGTGCCCTGCCGAGAACTATTTCAATCCCGAAGCCCAGAAGGAAGAGGCATCTTGCTGCAGACACGCCGAAAAGACGATGCAGTTGTGCGCACCAAAAATTGTAATTCCCTAGCGTGCTCTGGTTGGGCCCCCCGTGGAGCTTGGCATACAGAGAGTCAAGACGCCCTGCGCTTCCGATTCTTCCATTGCCGTCCTGGCCAAGGTAACCCGACACACATGCGTCATGCCCCTGCAACCGAACAGTTTCGCTGCGGCATGGGTAAATGCTAGTATATGCATGTCTTGCCCCCAGAAATTCAGCTGCACGGTTGACCTGGATGAGTTGTAGTCGGGGCCCGAATTCCTACTTGCATTGCTGCAGGATGCTGCAGGCTAGGTTTGTGTATGCTTCGTGCCCCATCGTGTCCACGAGTAGAAAGAGGGGGAGAGTCAGAGCGAGAGAGAGAGAGAGAGACAGTGAGCGAGAGCGAGGGCGAGAGCCAGCGAGAGAGAGTGACAGAGCGAGACAGCGAGCGAGCGAGACGGAGAGGGAGAGAGAAAGGGAGCGGAAGAGCGAGCGACGTAGGGAGAGTGAGGAATTTGTAGATAGCGTCCCGGGAGCTGAGGATGTGATGGGATGACACGCCCCGAACATCGGCGGCATGCGAGCCCTGCACCCCAATCCTGTCCTCGCAGCTTCCTGGGCCTTCAGGTATGCTTCGCAGATATTGGCCTCAACGGATTTGCCCAAGTAGCCGCGGTTGCTTGTTGAAACTGCGGGGAAACTCTGCAACATTAGCAGCAGTTGGCGAGATATTGTTAAGCCGTCACGGCACTAGCTCCTACTTATAACATGAATGCCAGAACACATGTCTTGGAAGCTTCACGACAAAAGGATCTCTCACCAGAAGACGGCATGGGCTGGTAGAAAGCAGAGGCAGTGCCGAAGCACCGAACACAAACACAACTGCATCGCCACACGTGCTTCGCTCAGGCAAAAGCCATCTTCTGGTCCTCCGCACGAAGAAAGGCACTCCGTGCTTGCTCGTAGAGCTGCCTTGGTCATGACATGAAGGCTTCCAGTTAGAGTAGGACTGCACTTCTGCTATAACTGCAGTTCACAAATTCACTACCTATAATATAAGTATATAAAATAGCTGGGAACATCTACACGGAACTGTGCAAGAAGGTTCAAGCGAGGAAGCAACAAGCCCGATTGCCTGCAGCATCAATGCCAACAACACAAGCAGCGCGGCAACAAGAATCCTAATTGCACTCGTAAGAAAAAGCCTAGTTGCTCTCTGAAGCTCGAAACGAATGCTGCCCGTCTTCCACTCCGCGGAAATCTTCAATGGCTCAAGACTCGAGAACCAAAATGTTCAAGACTGGGTGCCGATTGAGGAGGCTGTGTCCCATGTGGACCCAGGATTCCTGCAGCGACTCCACTGTTCCACAAGCAGTATCGCAAGGGGCGCAAAAACTGCGAGCTTGTGTCCGTTGTTAAATAACATGTGCCGCTTGAAGCCCACATGCAAAAAGCTTGTCGTGTCCAGCTCGGGAACTTCGCGCCCGTCTCTCCTCGCTGCCCTTGCGTTGAATGTTCAAGTGTTATCTTTCGCTCGCTCCTAGAATGTAATTCGAGATCGATCGGGGCCATCGCAGGTAAAGGACCTCGACAGCAACGAATCCGGATTGGGGGGTCCCGGGGTCATCTGTCGTGCGAGGGGCGCATGCTGAGATCTCGGCGTCTCGAACCAATCTTGTCCAAGTTTGATTGCCCCAAAAACCCCTTCTCGCCGGTATGTCCTTGCCACGGTTCTCACCGGCATGCTGGTGAATCTGCGCCCTCGCCTCAGGGAGGGGATGCAGACCCTGGGAGAAGCGAACATGAGTGATGACACAACCCCTACCACCTTAAACTGTTCATGCTCTGAACAGGTTGTTGCACGTGAAGCAGACTCGCGTAAAGGGCCAGCAGGTGTTTTGTCCTCAGCCGCTTCGTCTGAACAGGTGGTTGCACGTGAAGCACTGACACACAACAATCTGGCAAGGCTGGCAAGAAAAAGGACACGCATGTCTGCAGTGATCGACGTCGCTTGCGTCACTGCCTTGGTCTAGGCAATCACCCCTGCCGGCACATGGCCATCAGTGCAGTCCAATCTTGTCTCCGTGGGTCTGACAAGGCTCATGTTTACTGGAGCAGATCATGATCAGGACACGCCATACACGCAGCACTTCGTGGTTCATGGTGGTTATAGGGGCACCCCTATTTGATTGATGATTTGCCCTGGCCCATCCTGCCCCCAAAACCCCGCGCCTTTTCGTTCGACTCGTCCATGAGGCCCGAAGAGCTGACCAGGCCAAGATCTTCCCACATCTTGAAGACGTGTGAAGCCTTGGCGCTGTCCTCTTCGAAGAACAGGAGCCTAAGAGCGTCTGTCTGTGGCTACATCTTCGGCGTGGAAGATCGGGAAAACCAACCAAATGCTCAGCATCTGAACTGAGTTCTGACACAGTCTGCACAGCTTCTCGGAAGTTGATGACGCTCTCGCAACTCAGTTGATTGCAAATAGGGCCTGGAATTACAGTTGTGATGTGCCTCACTTCTTGCTGGCCAGCAGCTTTGATGACAAGTAGCTAAGTAGCTAATTTTGTCAATCGGTGAAGTTGAACCTAGACGTGTAGAAGCGTCGTTTCTCCCCACGCACTGATAGCCACGTGCCATGAACTAGCATTACTCAGCACACTTCCACCACGGTCCAGTTCCTGAACACATCAACCCACACACCCTGAACACATGCGTCCAGCAGGCACATGCTTCGTGCGTGTAACGGCAGTGTACAGGTGCTTGAGCTCTGAACCTTGGACAAACTGGCGGCGCAAAGTGCAGCTCCAAGACACGACAGGAAGACGCTTCAAAGTGTGCAGCATGAGCATGTGTTCGTATCTCCAGCATCCCCAAAACATGATTGTGCAATGCTGCATGGCAGCATAGGACAGCTATCTTCCAGGCGCAGTCTAGGTTTTTAGCAGAACGCGCGCAATTGCAGAGGCGGATCGCAACAGTCGGGTTCTGATGATCAGGACCTGTCCTAGCAGGTCCTAGCAGACTCTACAGCATTCTTCGCGGTGGCACTTGCTTTTGCATGAGGGGGCAAAATCAATCAATTAATCTGGGTCGCCTATTCCCGTCTCGAACCCTTCGACATGGACAGGAATTCGCCTGTGCACTCGAAACCTCCGGACCTACGGTATGGCTTTCCAACAGCCTAGAGTACCTGCTGACCAACCCCGCCACCAACCCGGACACTACAAGTGAGCATGGCTCTTGCTCCTCAAAGTCAAGCTGCAGAGCAACGCATGACGAAAGTTCTCAAACTGTGGGCGCTTTCGATGTGCAGCTGCATCCTCAAGCAGGTCTTGGAATGTGCTTCAGGAAAACCTGTATGTGTCTGTGTGTGTAGCAGGATTCACGAGAAGGCACTCTGGTGTGACTTGCCAGCTTGCGCTACATTGGACCGTCTCTGCCTTGCAACTTGAACAAGTCATGGTTGAGCTATGGTAAAATTCTCTGCCTTCATGAGCAAGGGATATGCTCATGTCACACGGGCTGTGGCAAATCTGCTCTACAAGGCCCTCAGCTGTGCTGCTCGAAACTCTACGACGGGGGAAGTGACAGGCTGACGGGCCCGGACTTCTCAGTGGACGTGGGTGCCCGAAGTCCCCGCAAGAATTGCCGCCTTCGACTGCCCTTCCAAAAGGTCTGGAAGAAAGATCTTCATCGTCTGCCACCTGGGAATCTGCAGTCGCCAACAGCACTGGCGCGCCGTGCAGCACAGAAAGATGGCTGAACATCACAAGCCAATGCCGACTGCCGCCCTCTGCCAAAAGAATGAAGAACCTTCTCTGCGGGGCGCAAAAACACCGTAAGCAAAAGGGGGCACAGTCTCCTTTTAGGTTGGAATTTGTGGGAGCACCTGATGGCCCTATCCCCAGGCTTAGCAGTCGGTAGTTAAAGCACTAGTCTTCCCCTACACTTGCTGTCCGGCGGCTCCTCGTACATTGAGTCCGTGAAGAAATTCACCAAGATGCAGTCCTGTAGAAGCAACATTTGTCCGGGGCCGACCGGGGTTTGAGTGGCAATCGAGGCCGGCTAGGACACATTCATCTTCTGTTGAAATCCAGCTACAGGAACTAGCAGAGGCAGCGGCATTTCGGCTGTGGATACCAGTCACAGTCAGAGGATTTCATATTCAACGCCAACCTTCTTCGGCAAGGTGCGGTGCTGACATTGTCCGCGGATACTGCCCCAAATAGATAGGCAAGTTCAGGCAAGTAAGGAAATCAGTCAGCAGGTTCATGAGTCAGCGAGCAGCCGAGTAATTAAGCAAGTCAGTCCGCTAGTCAGCGAGGGAGTGGCTCAGTGGCTAAATCGAGGTTCTTGCCGCTTCCTGTTGTGTCATTGGGGCCATCAACTCAAACTGGGCCGTGCCAAGACGACACTGAAAGAAAGGCATAGATAATGCAGAGGTGGAAGCAGATACACCCAGTGTGCACCTGCAACCTGGGCCGAAACCTATCCTCAAACATCCCGCCGTATTTTTTTGTCGGGGATTTTGTGGTGAAGTAGTGTTCCCACCACCGATTTCAGCACATTTCAAGCGTGTTTGTGGTATTAAAAAAAGTGCCACGTTATGCTTCAAGGCTAGGAAACGTGTGGTTTCAGCACGATTTTGGGGAACCAAAAAGTTCATGCTACATCGGACGTTGCAGGTCAGGAGTTCCTCGGTATTCTGACGACTTTTAAGCTTAGAACTAGCTGTTTTCGGCGGGGGCCGAACTTTATGTTTTGGGTCTGTTTTTGTGCTGGGGCACTGTGTAGCCGTTGTTGTGGTGAGGGTCTTAGTCGGAAGATGCTTGAAGGAGTCTGCAGATTCCTTCCAACATGTGGGAGTGCATGCCGCAGCACCGAAAGCATGAACAACCAACCTCACAACAAGATCGGGAATCGGGTCGGGAATCGGATCGGATCGATCGGAGCGGTGTCGGAATCGAACCTAAGCCTTCAGCTTTTTGAAGTCGTTTTTGTTTCCCCCCCCCCTGCCCTGCCTGCCCAAAACCAAAATCGAGTTAGTGGCCAACTCGTTTCTGCTCCCGCCCTGCCCTGCCTGAATCGAGTTAGTGGCAGCAACTAACTCGTCTTTGCCTCCCTGGCCTGCCGTCCCTCCCTCCACTCCCATCGCTGCTTCTGGACTGACGGTTCAGCCCTTACGCTCAGACCCACGGTGCTAGGTTCAATTCCGGGATCGGTAAATCGCAACAGACGCCGGGAATCGGGTCGGGTGGATCGGTATCGATCGGGTCGAATCGGGCAGGGCATGGAAAGGCATAGCTGCACTGCAGGTCTGGATGTAAAAGCTGCTACTGTAGCATCTAGCATGCCTCCGAACATGTGTCAGTACACGTGGTGCTTCTACGAGAAGAGTTGTCTCAACCCCAAAAGCCGAGCCTGGCTGCTGCTACACACGAACGAGATTCAAAGCAGACCCTCGGGCTCTAACCTCATGTGGGGATGATGTGAGTACCGGAACGTAAACGATGACCCTGCCGTGATGATGACGAGGATGACGATGATGATGACAATGAGGCGATGATCATGATGATGGTGGCAGAGTGGACGTTATCAGCCCCCCGCCCCCAACTCCCCCTCCCCAAGACCCAAGAACCCGAAAACAGCAAACACATAAAGACCCCGAAAACAGCAAAAATGCACGACAGGAATCCTCGCGCTAGCTCAAACATGAACCCAGGCTTCCGCTGCACAGGACGACGAGGCTCTGCTGTATCTTCGTCCGACGAGAACAAAAGAGCGCGCTGCGGCAACTGAGATCTACAGTATTGAGATCTACTCATCTGCAAACTTCATGCAACAACCGGCCCCACTACATCTAGCCGATTCTAGCCAAAGAGCGTCGAACTCGAGGCCTTTTGATTGCTCCACCGTGAGCACGAGAGCATTGGACAGCGACTGCGGCAGCTTCTTTCCTTGAGCATGCTTGTCTGGCGAAACTTCGGTGTACTATGTCCAAGCAGTGCCACCGTTCCTTCGGCAGTGCAGGACAGCGTTCGACATGACTGACTAACCCTGAGGTGCTATCGCCGAACTCAAACACTGCCCAGAGTCTGGAGGCCTCGTTGCGAACCTCACACGATCTCGCACAGCAAGTTGGCTGATTGCAGCAACAGGGTTTTCATACTGTGCGAGAGGAGCGAGGAATGGCCAGAAACATGTGGCAATATGAATATGAATCAGTGCGCCAGTTGATAAAAGATATTAGAAGGCTGACGGAAGGTAAAGCCATTCACAGAGCAGTGCCACAAAGGCGAAGGGTAAGGCGCATGCGAGGATGCATTGGCTGGCTCCGAAGGCAATGCCTGCGCTGCCTAAGCTGCAAACTGGATTGATGCAGTACAGCTTGATTGCGGCAACTCTATGGCGAATGTCAACCTTGTGTTAGAAACAGACACATGGTCTTTGGATGATCCATGGTGCAGGCGTCGAGGTTGAACATGTGCTGTGCCAGATCCTGCTCGTCAGGGCAAACACTTCTGTACATGTACGAAGTGTCCTCGTGACAATTCCTGCATATCTGCCAATCCAGCCATATCCAAGAAGATTCTACAGGGCGGTCGCCTTCGCTCGTGCACAAAACCTGATCGCTTGAGGCTGGAATATGATCCGAATAGGAACATGCCGAATAGAGTACACAAGCGAGAATTACGTAAGAGTATGGGCAATGTGGTCTGTCTTGACGGCAACTCTCTTGAATCTCTAGCTCTCCCTCACTTACTCACACGGGCTCGGGTCGATCATGCGGCGACCAAGCAGCATGCCACACGGACAGTGTATAGGTACAGCAAACTCTCACTAGACCTACAAACTCAAACGATGCACACGACAGATCCGCTGACCGGGAATCTGTTCAAGCACTAAAGCTGGAACCTGTCAGCAACTTGCATAGGTGAATATGTTCTAGAACTGCAGCAAGACAAGGAGCATCAGTTCCATGGGCCTGCTGGCTACGACTACTTTCTTGTGCAGTGCGCATCCTCCAGGGCTACATCCTTGACGATGACCGGTAGCACACCATCCTGGGACAACTGCTTTAGGGTGGAGCTCCAATGAGAAGGCTTGGCAATTTCACTGTGCCCGTGCCCGGGTCCGTAGGGCTACGACGGCAGCACTGCAATGCGCCAAAATCGCCAAAACGAGCTACAGTAAATGATGCTTTGACATCACCCACTGTGTAGTCGCATGCTGCATGTGTATGGAACGAGGCGGAATCACACCGCGAGTGCATTGAAGAGAGAGGCACCAATGAAGAAGCTACATCATTAGACGACTGAGGACTCCGGACAAGCTTCCCGTTGCCCCGTATCGGCCGCCAGCTTGTCGATGGCATGCCTGGCCGAGTCCGACTCATCTATCGAGCTGCGGCAAACGGAACCAAACCAGCAGCTGTAAGTACACCCGGCTACGACACGAGATCATGATCAAGCAAGCTGCGGGAATGCCAGTTCCAACGGTTGCACCACGCCGCGATGGGATAGCGCAAGGATCCTTTGCGGAAAACTTTGGCCACCACTGCACCGGCTCCGGGCAGCACTCCGAGAGCCTCTAGAGCCGGAAGTTTTCAAATGACAAGAGGATGCCAGGTGGCTTCTGGTGGCTGCGGTAGTTGATCAGCAGCTGATCCAATTCTGGCACTTTCCTCGGGGGCTGGTTCGCACTTCCCCAGTTCTCCTAAAGTTATGACTCTTGACACCCAAGCGGCTCGCTCCGATTGAAATGATGGAAAAGGGACCTTAAAGGTTCTTGAAGCCATCAGCACAAGCTTGAGTTTGTTGACGACGGAAATTCGAGAAGCTTCAACAGTCAGCCAAGAGGCTGCAAATCACAGAAACGAAACTCGACGGCCCGCGACACCGTCTGCGAAGTGTCACCCGTGAGAAACAGCTCCTTGCGTGGGCTGGAATTTTGCCAGGTTTGGCTCAATCACTGATGTGATCTAGGCATGGTTCCTGGTTCCCGACTGAGCACTGGAAGTCTGGGCTGCAAAGGTTGAAGAGTCTGCTGCTCGGGACTCGAGGCGAGCACGAACGCAAGCGAGCAGGCTTGGACGGTCATCACAAGAGCTGCCAAGAGACTTCGCAGGATTCTAGTCGAGACCAGAGCACTGAAGCACACCATGCGAGTCTGTATGGTCACTCCACAGGTTGAGGCATCTTCACCCCTGTGTGTCTGTTCCTCGTTCTGTCGCTTCCTGAATGTTTTCCCTAGGGTTCGCGATCTGGAGCTGCGTATAATTCGAGAAGTGAGAAGTTTCGGTCCCGTTGCTGTCAAGCTGACATCATGTTGCTCCTCATAGGGCTTCTTCATGACCACGAAAAAGACTGCAAGTTCCAGCCTCATTTGTGCAGAAGACACGTATCGAACACCTCAATACTTGGTGTGAAGTGTTCAGTCCGCCGACTGCCGGTGGGATGGCAAAGCTCCTTCAAGTATTTCTTGTCAGTGAAGACTGGTAGCCAAGTATTACATGGACCTCCCCACAGAACGCCCAGCTCAGCACCTGCAGCTCCCATACTAGATGCCTACGAGTAGCTGCTTACTAGCTTCGCCCAAGCCGCTGGGCCAGATCTTGTACTTCGTCGACAGCAGCGGAGTGAATGGGCGGTCCCTCATAGGGAGTCCTCTTCCTGTTGAAGAGTCTCGGAGTTTCTCATCTTCATTCGTCTGACATCACTCGGGCAATTGCACATCAACCGGATGAGGGGGGCGAAAAAGGCATCCAAGCCATCTTTCTACCTGCGCTCCTGCCTCCTGCTTACCGACTACGATGAGAGGTACATGTGACCATTGTCTTCAGCATCTTGGGACCGCGAATGCTCCAGAGCGTGGCACGTGATCTCGATCATCACTAGCAGCAGGACAAAGCGAAGGCAACAATCAATCTCAAGCTGTGAGAGATTATTCTCCATGCAATAAGGGATTCTTCATCAAGGCTGAACATCGCGAGGCACCATCAGGACGTGGAGTAGTATCATTCTGAGAACTTCGCTAGAAGCATCGCTTGAAGCTGACGGTCGAGCTTGACGCAGTGCGCAGCGGCGTCAGCTTCAGGATTTCGTCCACTAACATCGTGCTTACCAAGTAAAGTAACACTTTCTGTACATGACCGAAGTGGTGTAGTGAGAGTGCTCGGTCTCTCGATCAAGTTGAGCGGCAGCTGCTGTATGACATGTCTGGCGACATCCATCCTGGCACAGGAGCTTTTCATGTTGCAGCTGTTGCGGCCTAAGGGTTGGCATGCATTACTTCAGCAACTGAAAGACACAAACACACAACATCCGGCGGCCGGTCTGCCGGGCGGGGGGGGAAGGAGGACATCTTTGAGTCCTGTCGAAATAGTTCCACTCCTCTCGAAGCTTCTCGTAGGTCTTGAAGGCTGCGTAGATCCTTGGCTAGCACTGCGGCACGTACACGGATGTCGCAGCCTTCGTTAGTCTTAGACTTTATTGGCAGATTCTACGGCCTTGAGCTACTGATCATCCACTCCCTATTATTTCATCTGAAGCTCGAAACTCACGTCGTGCCGTCTTGTGAAGGAGTGAAAACAAAGCGTGCGTGTATTCCGAACGTATGTTTGGTCATGGGCCGTGGCTCATCAGCTACGAGCATACGGGACTGCAACGAACGAGCGGGAGGCTGCTTGTTTTGGCCTACACACTCGAGTGTCCGTTTGCATCAGTCAAGCGGCTCCTTGCGAAAGTCCTTGAAGCCTGTGCAACCACGTGGACATGATGATTGTGCCCCACATGAGAGACCTCTGCAGGACAAGGTTTCGCATGTACTCCCATCTGCCTGGCGAGCACTTGCTCGTGATCTCCTGGTACGTCGCCAGGTCGAGATAGCCTTGCTCAGTGTCCTGCGGAGACTGGCGCAGGTGCAGCGAGATGCGATCTGGGAGGTATCCCTGCAGCTGGCCGTCGGAGACCCCCCCCCATGAGAAGCAATTTGGCTCCAAAGCTCCATCACATCAGAACATTCAACACCCAAACCCAAACCCCTGCCGTCCAGAACTCTGTAAGAGCCCTTGATGTAGGACCTGGGCAAGGACTACAGCTTCCAGTTCACCACATGCCTGTATTCGAAGCGCCGGACAAGCTTGAGCAATCCGCTCCAACTCAGGATGCAAGCTGAATCTTTCACACCGAAAGGGCTTGCATCGATGCACAAAAACGAACACGTGCGCAAAAACTACTACAGTAGCAGTGGGGCCTCGCTCGGCTCTGCTTCTGCTGGGATGCATAAACTCACGCCAGACCAGCACCGCATCGCAGCCAGAGGGCACCTGAAAGACTGGGTCCCAGAAAAGATAAGAGCCGATCTGCAGGCAAATATCTGGCCTTTTGGCACAGCTTTGGCCAGAACTTCAGCTTGAAGAGGTCATAGTCCACCTCGTACATGGCTCGGCTCTCAGCCTTAGGTCACTGAGCAGAAGGATGCCGAGAAGAGAGGCGCACTTCAGGTAACATCCGTTGCATCGAACGCGCCTGCAACTCGAAAGTTACCTACCCAACGACGTGACAAACACCTTGCTGGCTTGGTGCTGCAGAGGAAGTATTCCGCCCGAAAGCCTCCACACCATGTGACAAGTACGAAAGCTGCAACAGTCGCAACGTCAGTCAGGCTGCTTCGCATGAAGCAGCTCTACTGGCCGTTCCACCCGCTTCCGCGTGGGCTCCCGATGCCGTGATACAGAGATAAGCCACGGCCTGGGCTCTCACCGCAGCTCGGCGCTGTTCTCGGAGAGCAGAGATGGGGTCCAAGCCATCGGCGGCCTCGGCCTGAACGACCTGAGCCCAGGGTGAAAAGCTTGGGCTCTTGCGACCCGTCTGCAAGGATGCTCTCTGGTGGCTCCGAGAGCTGGCATTTGCTGACATGGCCGGCAAGCCAGCAGCGCAAAACGCAAGAGTGCCCACGGCCTTGTCTGGGTGGAGCGATCCGGTGTTTCGGCGGGGGAAGAATGGTCGGTCCAAGCTGCCTTGGCATGCGCGGTGCCATGAGTTGGCATAGTCACAAAAGCTGCAGCCACCCTAAACAAAGGCTCCTGTGAATGTCAGGCACGGTGCCGTCCAGCATGATCAAGAACTTTCGGTACCTGAAGACACGTGCCCAGTCTCACGGGGGCATTAACTGGAACCACACAAGTCGTACCAGTAAGACCTAAGGAAAGAGTGAACTAGGCCCCAGGGCGTGATGAACAACGGGAAGCTCTTCACGTGCTTGATGTTGTCCGGGTGCCTCCCGAGTATTGACCCAAGTAGGCATCAACACCTTCAAAGCAGCAGTGTAAGACTGTACCGCTACTACGACGAAGACGAATTCCATCCCCTTCAACATTTATGCAGCACCAACCCGACAATGAGACGCACCAGCATCATCCTTGATCATCAGCATCCACATCACCACCACCATCGAGATTTGCCCTGGCCATCTTCATCAGCCTCATTACCAACACCACCACTGCAATTCAGGCCACAGCCAATACTGCCACCATCGCCAGCAGCGCCTCAACATCGTCGTCGTCTTCTTCCTCCTCCTCTACCTCATCGTTTTCGACAACCTGTTCTTCATCCGCCTCGGACCATCATCACTTTCACCGCCGCTACTGTTCTTATAATTGTCCTCATCATCAACAACACCATTGCCGTCGCCACGAGCGTCATCGCCACCAGCACAACCACCATCAGGTCACCATGGCTATCATAATCCCCGGCCGGTGGCAGCAGCAGCAGCACAACCGCCAGCACCAGCAGCAGCACTACCACCAGTACCACCATCAGAATCAGAACACCCTTCATGACTGCTACTGCCACTTGCACGCTTCTTGCCAAGACTATCCCGGGCATAGATGATCATCATCAGCATTTACACATACCGACCACCGTTGTCGCTGTGCACACAAATATGCGTCATCCACACCTCCTGGTGTCTCTAGTAAGTACGAGCAAGAAGTATGAAGTGGGATCAGGCAATGGAGTCGTGTGCTGATTGAGGCTTTAGATGAAAACAAAAAACAAACTACACATCCAAAACATCCCAGAACCGTTTCAGTCATTAGAGTGTTCATGCGACCAGCAATCCCATGAAATCGAAAGCGCTAGAAAACAGTAGTAGGGACCAGCAGCACTAAACTCAAGATGTGTCGAAACCGTGACGACAGCCACCCGAACTTCGCTCAGCATCTAAGTAATTACATGTCTCAGCCCGCCAGACGCTTTTCGAAGCTACGTCTCAGGTACAGCGGAAAGGCAGAACCAATCCGCGATCGCGCACAGCACGCTGGGCTGCAAATCTCGAGAGCCCTTGCTCTACGACACACGCACGAAACAGTTCAGAGCCTTGACTGCTCCAGAAGCCCCCAGCGACGCGTCTGTGGCACTGCATCCTTGCGAGAGGAGAATGAAGAGCGATTGGGGCACCAGCATGGGTAGCTATGCTTGACTGCCGTCTTTGTTTAGTCTTGGATGTCTCAGTTCCACAAGGCCAGTTGAACGAAAGTGCCGTGAGCACACATGTCTGAGGTTGCTGGTCGTCATTTATGTCCTGATCAGGAACAAGGCATTGCTGCTCCGTCTCGTTGACATTGATACCACAACCGGAAATGACGCTCAGACGTGGAATGGTTTTTCGGTCCTCTTCGACACGAAGCGAACATGCTATTTTGACAGCTCGCACCGGAAAGCGGATCGGTTTCTTGTCAAGCACGGCCTCCCTCTTCTTCCCCGGGGCATGAGGGGGTTGCGAGACCCCTCGGCCCTAAGGGCCCCCCCGATGTTCGTGGGGCTTTGGAAGGGCGTGAAGATTGTGATGGTTTTCCCCCGGCTGGACCTAGACTTCGTATACGATGGATATATGTGAAAGTACGATACCGGGATTAATCACCATTCACGTTCAGAAATCTCACACGTCAGTTCTCCGGGGCATGTGCTTTTTGCTAAACCAACACAGACAGCATGGTAGTAACGAACGTTTTGCACATCCCCCGGTGTGTTCAGAACAGTGTACTGCTAAGCTCTGGTCGTTTGGGGTATTTTCCCCCTCAACAGTTAACAGAAAACAATGGGCCTGACACTAATAGGCAAACTAAGGTTTTCATTGTGCCAGACCAGGCTTCGCATACGTCTGAACTAAGCGAAGATGAATTTCCCCCGTCTTATAATGGGAACTCATAAGCTGTAGCATGATGAGGACCTTTCAGGGGGGTTTCAGACATCATTCACTTGGCAGATCAGTCTCCGGGGTGTTGTGCCATTCGGAAACCAATGAAACAGCTTAAGCTAGTAACGAACAGCTTAGGCCAGCATCGACTTGAAAAACTTCGCGGCACATTCCCCGTTTTGTCGAACCGAGATGGTTCTGCTATTCGGGGCATGTTTCCCCCGTTTTGCTTGTGCGGCAGCCGGTCTAGAGGTGAACAATGCAAAACTGAGGTAACACGACATACAATGATGGGCGACTATAATCTTAGGTAAGTAAAATTCCTGACCAGGCGTCGCACATCTCGGAACAGAATGATGATGACTCCCCCTATCGCATTGCAGAGAAACACCGGGTGACGAAGCAACATGGCTAGGTTCTTCGGGGGTCAGGCGTCATCGTCTTGAAATCGTAGTACGGATTAGTTTTTGGGGTTTCGTGCTTTTCGAGAACAAGAAAGGCAGCAAGTGACAGCTTCTAACAAACTAGACAGTTAGACACGACGGTACCGTAACATTTCAAAAAGATGCACATCCCCATATGTCAGCAGTGAGGGCTAGGTTATGACAGGTGCTCTACACGTGTCAGGACCTTCTATCTCTCCAAGTGCATACTCTGAAGCAACAAGCGACATGACTTCGTAGGTTGAAAATTTTCGGTTTGCACTCGGAGGGTGGTCATCCCCTCTCAGCACTTTCCCATCAGAAGTGCTCTTTGGCGTGGATCCCCAAGAGTCGCCGTCGTCGATGACTGTCGTTGGACATGGCGTCATCTGCTCCCCCCACGTCGGGGCTTCTTGGCCGCCGCTGGTGACGTTCTCGGGGGCTTGGTGGGTCCATGAGGAGGCCGTAGTACGCGTTGTCCCCCAAGCCGTGGTGGCGGTCCATTTCCCACCATGCGTTCCCCTCGGCGGGGAGCCCCTGCGCCGCCTCTGGAATGTGGGCAGAGATCTGCCGAACCAGTTTCATCGCTGCATCTTGCAGCTGCGGCAGGTGATCTGCCGGCCATTCGTCCACAGAGGCGCTGAGGTGCCGCATGAGCAGCAAAGCTTGTTGCCAGGCAGGAGTATTCCCCCCGCGCTCCACGAGAGGGTTGTCGGTTCCTCCTTCTGCCATCGCTACCACATTGGCGGGGTGCACCAGGGATCCCCCAGCACATAGAGCTTGCATGGCTTCCCCCACGGCGACAAGCGAGGCCCAGTCTGTTGGTTCGGTTGAACCGTCAAGCACGTGGTTGAGAATCCCCCGCAGTGGCGTAAGTATCGGAGGCAGCTGGATGTTGAGCGACACATCATCCATAGGCAGCGTTTGCATCCATGACATGAGGGCTGCTACATGGGGCTCGAGCATTCCATATGTGACACATCTCCCCGCATCGGCTAGCTGTTGTCTTGCTATGATGATGAGTGCTGTGGCGGCTGTGTATGCTTGTTGTCGACAGAGGGTTGGTACGTCGATGTTCCCCGCCTGACTTGAGCTGGCAGGTGCATCGGGTGGTGGTGGTGGTGGGAGCCCGTGATCCCCTGCTGCTTGGGAGCTGTAGCTTTCAAGGGCTTCTGCGGTGGGTGTGTCCACAAGGAGGTGGATAAGTGCTTGGTCAGCATTACGCACGATGTGTGGCCCTGCCTCTGCTGCCTGGTGTTGTTCTGCGAGCCGTCGGATTTCCAGAAGGTGTCGTTCCACTCGTTCCCAGGAGCGTTCCCGGTGCATTGGTTCTACTGGGAGCTGTTGATGTTCGTTGGCAGCTTCTGTCCCCTCGTCGTCTCCGTACGGCAGGGTCTGTGGTGGACTTACGTCGCCGGGTGTCGTTGGTGGATGGTTGCCGACTGTGTGTGATGGTGTTGAAGGTTGTGTTGCGGTGGCTGCTGGAGCTGTGGCATATGCATGGGTGGTACCGCCCGGTAGTGGTAGTGTTGTGGCTGCTGGGCTTGCTTCAGTCTCGTTGCGTGCTTGTGGTTGGGAAGGGCTGTCGATGCTTGCGGAGAAGATGGTGCGCTGCATGAGGTTGCTTGTGTCTCCGTCGCGAGGGCCTTGCTCTTGGGGCTCTGCATCGGGAGGGTGCCCGATTCGCCTGCCATCTCGGATCTGTGCAGCCAGCGGGGTGTCCCCAGGCCTGCCGTGTTGTGGTTGTTGTGGTGGTGGCTGCGGAGTGTGGTTGGCCTCCTGAAGTTGGCTGCGACGCAGTTGTCGTCTGTCCACGAAGGCTGGTTGTTCTTGCTGGTGGTTGGGTGCTGTCCGAGTGTTTTGATACGTGTCGGCTTTGGTCCCCGGGCTTGCAGGAGCGACTGCTGTGGCTTGCGGGTTGTGGCTGCTTGAGGATGCTGTCGCATCCTGGGGATCCTCGGTTTGGAGTTTCCGCACTGGTGGGTAGTAGCTGCGTGGTGCTTCGTGGGACGAGCCGGCACTGGGGTCACGTTCGGCGGGTGTGTATGTGTCGCCGTCATTGTGTCCCCCGCTCTCAGGGATGCTGGACAGCGGTGTTCGTGGTGGTGGCTTGTGTTGGGGTTGTGTGCTTGGGTGTCGTTGTTGTGGAACCTGACCGGCTTCCCGCAGTCTGCGGACTGCAGGGCTGGGGTGGTCACTGAGTTGTTCTATCTTGATCACCCATTCGCCGTCAACTTGTTCAAAGCGTAGGCGATCGCCGGCCGCTAGTAGCATGGTCCCCGGCATGTGGTCTTCCGGTGCCGGCGCCTGTTCTATCTCCAGGAACCACAGCTCCGGTGTGAGCTCCGTAAAGAAGCCTACCACTCCCTCTGTAAAGGGTGGAGCGGTTGCTGCTGTTCCTTCGGCTCCTGCTCGCACGATGCGTGGTAGGCTTCCCCGCTGGCCATTAGGGCGGGCGGGGGCGTCGGGAGCGCGGATGACCTCGATGCGCCATGT